CTATGGGGTAGCCAAACGTATACTGAATTAGTTTAATTGTTCATAGATAGTTACATGACTATTATGTAATAAGTAAATATACACAAAATGGAAAAGTACTTTAACCCTTAAACTGTCCAAACAGATCGACGTTCAAATCCGTAGTGCTCCTAAAGTAGATTGTTTTTTTTTTTTACATATTTTCAAATATAACACAAAAAAATGTAGATAAAAGTTTATTTTACACGTTTTCAAATGTAAAAAAAAAAAAAAAGATCTACATTTTTTACATACTTTCAAATGTTAAAAAAACGTAGATCTACGTTTGGACAGTTTAAGGGTTAAGACACTTGAAAAGGTCTTCACTCTGCAATAAAGGCTAGGTTAGGTAGGTTTGTCAGGAAACAGGACAAGTGTTTCCTGGCGTGGGTTTTAGTTATATGATGATCCGCCTTTGGAGCTTTTGTCATCTGACCGAGGCCTTCCGCTGGCTTACCCCTCCACCCCCTTAAAAACTATGGTCATAGTTATAACCATTTTTTCTGCAATAAAAATAGTAACTAAGTACTGAACTTACAAAATTAATGTATAAATGAAAGTTACTGTATATTATATTAACTATAACGACAAACATAATAAAGGTAGACAAAATACATGGTGACAGATTTTAAATTGTACCTAATAACTAAAGAACATATTTATATAATTATACTGCAATATGACATGTGATAATGGTGACATTATTATTATTAAAGATTCGCCGGTATACTCCCGGCCCGGGCCTTTTCCAAGTGGTGGCCCGGCCTTGGGAGTGTCTGAGACCTAAGTCTCCCATGGGAGGAGGCACAAGTGCCTCCTCATCTTTGGGACCAACTGTCCCCAGTTTTGCCATCCCCACCCCAAGGGGGTTAAGGGGAATGGCAGTCTTGTGAGCTGCAAGCTCTGGCTCAGGCACCTACCCTACCCTAGAAGGGCTGGGCATGGTGTCGATGTCTAATAGTGACATTATTATTATTATTATTAAAGATTCACCGGTATTCTCCCGGCCCGGGCCTTTTCCAAGTGGTGGCCCGGCCTTGGCTCCCTCTTTAGGAAGTGTCTGAGACCTAAGTCTCCCATGGGAGGAGGAACAAGTACCCCCTCATCTTTGGGACCAACTGTCCCCAGGCCTAGCCACAAGCTAGGCCTCTCTGGTCTGCCATCCCCGCCCCAAGGGAGCAAATGGGAATGACAGTCTTATGAGCTAAAGGCTCGGGCTCAGGCACCTACCCTACCCTAGAAGGGTTAGGCATGGTGTCGATGTAATAGTGACATTATTATTATTATTATTAAATATTCGCCGGTATTCTCCCGGCCCGGGCCTTTTCCAAGTGGTGGCCCGGCCTTGGCTCCCTCTTTAGGGAGTGTCTGAGACCTAAGTCTCCCATGGGAGGAGGCACAAGTACCTCCTCATCTTTGGGACTAACTGTCCCCAGGCCTAGCCACAAGCTAGGCCTCTCTGGTCTGCCATCCCCGCCCCAAGGGGGCTAATGGGAATGACAGTCTTATGAGCTAAAGGCTCGGGCTCAGGCACCTACCCTACCCTAGAAGGGTTAGGCATGGTGTCGATGTAATAGTGACAATTTTAATTCAGTACTGTACTGTGAAAAAAAATATTTATAATGAAGACAGAAAAATCAAATGTAAGAAATAAAAAGATATACTGAAGACAAACGTCAGTTTATCAATAATCAAGGTGGCAAAATTTTGAAAATAAATAACCTCTGTGCAATCCACAAACTTTAGATCTAGCAAATCAATACACGAAGTTAAAAAAAAATCAAATGCTGCATTAAATATGGCATCCGTATCAAGACAAGTATCCCCGTAGCGTTTCTCAATCATTGAAAACCGCTGTTGTTGCTGGTATTATTGTTTACAAACAGCATCACAAACTATTAAATTCAGAAACTATACAAATGCGACAATAATTTCCATACTGAAAAATGTGACAGACGAAAACACTCGATTACTGATAGTGAAAATGGAAGTAATATGAGATAAATGTATATTACAGAACATGGCGCAATATCCCCTGAGAAACGTTAAGAACGCCACTCAGGGTACATATGCGCACTAACCTTGAGCAACCAAACGTTATCTCTATGTGCTAAGATTAATTAACGTTTTATTAACACGTCACCAATATTGTCACGAGAGATGACAACTGTATATAGAAACACTTATTCAACCTCGCAATACAACAGGGTACCATGATGCAATCGTGCTACCGGAGCACAAGTGCTACAAAACATAGCCCCGGTCAGCAATGCAAGCTATAATTATGACAAGGGGAACAACGTAGTACGTTGGAATATGAGAAGTTTAAGGCAGTAATGGAAACTTCAAATATATGACAATATCTCGCTTGATTATACAAGTCAGTGACCGACTTAATTTGTTCCCACTCGTTCTATTGATCTACCACTCTAAAGGAAAAAAAAATATTTTCCCATCGGCTCCAATTTTTCCTCAATTTACGACTGTGGCTTCTTATTATCTTTGTTACTGGTGGGAAAAAATTGTCTTTATTTAATCATTTATGTCCTGTTATGGCGTATATGACTTACTGTGATTTGATAATGGTCCACGACGAGCAACTCCGTCCGTAGGTGAGTTGCTTGTGAATTGTTCCAGTGATATTATGACTTATTCGAGACAAATTTATTTGACGTCCCACGAAGATAGGACCAAATCCCAGTGGGACAAAATCCCGTAAGACTAGGGTAGGGTAGGTGCCTGAGCCCGAGCTTACAGCTCACAAGCCTGTCATTCCCATTAACCCCCTTGGGACGGAGATGGCAGACCAGAGAGGCCTAGCTTGTGCCTAGGCCTGGGGACAGTTGGTCCCAAAGATGAGGAGGTACTTGTGCCTCCTCCCATGGGTGACTTAGGTCTCAGACACTCCCTAAAGAGGGAGCCAAGGCCGGGCCACCACTTGGAAAAGGCCCGGGCAGGGAGAATACCGGCGAATCTTTAATAATAATAATAATAATAATAATAATAATAACCTTCACACGTGAGCCGTAAGCCAGAGACCCCGAGCTCAAGTCACTCATAAGAACATAAGAAAGAAGGAACACTGCAGCAGGCGTAATGGCTATATGCTACTAGGCATATAGCAGACTGGACAGGCAGGCCGGGCTTTTCTCTCCAAGACATCCAATGTGTGTTTTCCTTACTCCTATTATCTCCTGACGAACCCCCACGACACTATTATGTACCTCTGTAATCTTTTGACTGCCGCCCACGGGATGGGTATGGGGTACATAATAAAGGTGTTGAACTAAGGAATGCTTCAACAAGACGACGTCTGTGAAGGCTAGAAGAATGGTATACAGTTTTGACAGAGGACCAGTTAACAGGATGACTGTGATCTCGAACAAGTAAAAAATTAGCATTATTAGTCTCCGAGCATAACACTTCTTTCGTGCTCTTAAAGTCTGTCAGAAAGAGAGAGGCTAGTTTCTTCAAAGTGTTGGAGACGACAAGAGGAGCAGGAAATGGAGAAGCGTCCGGAACCATCAGTGGCAAGAGGAGAGGTACGAACAGAAATCGAACCGAAATGTCTTAAGTTTCAATCTCCTATGTGTGGTACTGTGCCTTTTTATTCTAAATACACTAAAAATAAATTTATATAAATAGTCTTATTTAATTATGCCGTTAGATGTACGTGCCGTCTCGCTCATTTCTTCTACAAGTATTAACTATTTGTGAAGATAAAAATACCATGATTTATGAACGTGTCTCACTTCCGCGGTCGATGGTGAAATGCAACATCCTTTATTTAAATATGCCTTAGCACACTACCTCGTGGTGATCTGTTTTGATATAACATATCCCGTTAGCAAACATATGTCTACGGTTATTAGTGTAGAAAACAAAGAGACCTACATTAATTTCATATAAATGCATACATTTACAATAAAGACTAATCTAGATAAACTAACCAAATGAACAATCAAAACAAAATGTACACATTTTTAACTATGAAGAAACAAACGTAACATACTTGTGTCACACACAAGTATGTAATAATATATCTTTATTTCTACAAGTGCATGTACAAGGTATACAGACCATAGCTGACATACTACTATATACAAAGCCGTTTGTTATGCTGAGCAATTCGGCCAAATTATGTCAATTTTGTCCTGGGATGCGACCCACACCAGTCCACTAACACCCAGGTACCCATTTTTACTGATGGATAAACATGGATAACCGGTGTAAGGAAACACGCCCAATATTTCCACCCTTGCCGGGAATCGAACCCGGACATCAGCGTGTGACGCGAGAGCTTTGCCACCAGGCCACGGGTAACAGTGGTATATTACCAGTCATTCTGGAAAAATACCCAGATTTTGCCCACTGTAAATAACGCATAACCACTTAAACTTTTTTTTTTTATGTCAAGCATATCTTGCAAAAGTATAAGGTAATGTTTTTGTATTTTTTTGTGTATCCTAATTCATGTCTGCATAAATAACTCATTACGACTGTAACTAAATATAAACATAAATAATTCATTATCAACTTTAGATAACATTGCAGCCCAGTCCCTGGACCCATTATGTGCCTCTAATCTTTGGACTACCACCCACAGGATGGGTATGGGGTGCATAATAAAGATATTTAACTAACTTATTAAACTAACGAACATTGGATATCTTGCATAAACTATGACAGTTATACTCGTCTCGATATAAACAGAGTACCATGGTTTAACAAGAAAAGGCCAAATAATTCTTGCATGATAAAGGCTTCCGTACAAATGCTTGTGGGAGTCCAAGACAAAATGGCGTATTGCTGACAAGTATGAAGGCAAAGACAAGTTATAGAACAAACTTAATGGGACAGCATTTCTCTCTATGATGATCTTTATCATGTCATGACTTGATCAAGTTCTACATAACGAAACGTTGTCCCAATAAACGTTGTCTTCGTCTTCATGTGGGAATCTATTGCCAATAATGACATTC